CTCAACTCAGTATCCTTTTGTAATGACATCTTCAAAGGCTTTGCTGTGTAAGATAACATTTACAGGTTCCAGGAGTTAGGCCCTGATACCTGTAGGGACAGCCTCCTTTGGCTATTATAAAAATTAAATGTAGTAATGATACAGCTCGCGACTGAGCCGTGCAAAGCTCAAATCTCCTTTCTAAATGGAGAGAATTAATGTCTGTGTCTTATGCCTTTGTAACGGCAGAGAATTTAACCGACTAGTATTTGTTTTCTGCCTGGATTGTTCTATTGGGGTCAATAATTCAAATTCTGTTAGTGTTTGGCCTTCAGTTTGAACCATTCATAAAGACTGAGACCCCTTTACCTTTTCAGTGTTCTGATGGGGCAGTAAATTCTCAAGCAAGGTACTTGTCTAACTCTCGAGCAGCTCTTTTCCTTGTGCTCTGGAAACTCTTGTTTGTCTCATACTTAAGTGTTGGAAAAACATAAAGCCTTCTAAGTTCATGGTCTTCCTTTAGCACCCCCATCTTCCCTCTGGGGAATTTAACCCCAGTCTGTTCTTTCCTCATACCGGGATGCTATAATCTTTGCATTGTACTCATCTCTTGCACATGTAATATATTCACTAATTTTAGAATCTTGGAAGCACTAGCTCAATTTGTGGGAGAAACAGACAGAAGTCAGGAATGAATGATTGAGGATTCCCATTCTGTCCCACTGATCTCTGGATCTCACCAGCCTGTTCTCAAGTCTCCTCTTTTCTGTAGTAGTAACACAGTCGTTCCAAGCTCTCAGGCTGAGAACCTCCTTCTCTTCCATGAGTGAGTGACCTTGCTTTTTCACATGTATTTTTGACAAGCAAACCCTAATGGCTGTGCCTTTAGGGTATGTGCAGATTCTGTCCACTTTTTACGAAATCCATAATTACCACACTAATCTAATGTATACCATCTCTCCCCCAGTTAACTGAAATCACCTACTAAATGTTCTTCATATTTACAGTTGTTGTGAGTGTTAAAATTAGTTCTCTACTCATCAACAAGTGAGGTTCAATTAAAACCCATCAAATTGTGTCTTTTCTTTGTTCATTACGGTGTTTCTTGTAAGTTCTTTGCATAGAGGCAGGGCTTCCCCCTATCCCATTCAGAGTCATCACTGTTACTTCTCCTGAGTAGCTGGCATTAAAGGCTCACACTACCATGCTCAGCTTCCACTCCCCCCCCCCATCAGCTTTAGTCACTTTTATCTCCATGTCGTGCTCCAAACATACAAGCCTTGTCCTCCCCTCTGGGGCTTCCTTCTTACTCTGCTGTGAATGTCTGCTTGGCTCTGGCCTTTTACTTTGGGTCTTGGTAGGAGCTTTACTTTCTCAAAGAGCCCTTCTCTATGAAGCCACAGGAGGAAATGGATTCTTTCTCTTATGCCCTCAGCATGCTCTATCTTCCTTGGCCTATTTTTTTTCCTGTCTGGTTTATTGCCTTATTTTATTTATTATCTGTGTTTTTCTATTAGAGGCTCCATGAGGGCAGTTATTCCACAGTCTTGTTCTTACAAAGCCTCCAGCTCCAAGAGGAGCCTCTGACCCATCACAGGTCTTCAGTGCCTATTTGGTGAATGGATAGATAAATGGATGAGTTGTAGGCGCCAGACCTCATGGTTTTATTTCATGAGAAGCAGAGGTTGACAAGTGTTTGGAGCAGGATACCCATGGACATGTGTTTTAGAAGGATTGCTATGATATCAGTGTCCAGGTTGGGTATGAAGAAAGTAGCTAGAGGTTTAGAGATTAGTAACCATGATATGTAAGAAAGGATGATGATCTAAGTTGGAATGGTGACTTTGAGAATCGGTGTATGAGGGGCTTGTTTGTGAGAGAGACTTAGAGAAAGAACATCTGACAGCTGGGAATATCAGGAGTAAAGGATATTGAATAGGAGATAGAAAAAGATGCAAAGGGAACGTTTAATTCTGCATTTTTGTGAGAGAGTGTCGCATCGATGACAGTAACAGTTATAAAAGTAAGATATTTTAGGAAGAAAAAGCAGTTTGAAGTTTGAAAAGGAAGATAACCATATTGACCCTTAAAAGTACTATAAAATTATAATAGAATGTTGGGAGCTGGAGAGATGGCTCAGTGGTTAAGAGCACTAGCTACTCTTGCAAAGGACCCAGGTTCGATTTTTACCTCCTTCATGGTGGCTAACACCCACCTGTAACTCCAGTTCCAGGGGAACTTAACACCCTCTTCTGACCTCCATGAACATTGCATGACATGGTGCACTTACACACATGCAGGCAATACACTCATACACAAAAAATAAAATAATAAATAAAATATTTAAAAAATTGTGGTAGAATGTGCATATTGTAAAAATTTCCATTTTGGCCATTTTGAAAGTGCAGTTCAGTAGCATTATGTGCACCACAGGCCTGTACAACCACCATTCATCTGTGAACACTTTCCCTTCCCATATTGAGGCTCCTTAGCAGTTAAACAGTAACTCTCTGTTCGTCCTCACCCTAGCCCTGGAAACCACCATACCACCATTTTCTTTCCTATGAATTGGAGTGTTCTTGGTTCCTTATACAATTAGAAAGGTGCAAGGGCTGGAGACATGGCTCAGCAGTTTAGAGCACTGACTGCTCTTGCAGAGGACCCGGGTTCGATTCCCAGCACCCACTTGGTGGCTACGAATGGTCCTTAACTCCAGTTCCAGAGGAAACCAATGCCCTCTTCTGACCTTCGCGGCATTGCGCGACACGGGTGTACTCACATACATGCAGGCAATACACTCATACACATAAAATAAAAATAATAAATAAAATATTTTTAAAAAACAAGTAGAAATGTGCAGTATTTGTCTTTTTGTGCCTATCTTATTTCACTTGACATAATGTCCTCAAGGGTCACCATGTTTTTAGTGTGTATAAAAAGTTCATTCCTTTAACCAGGCATGGTGGCACAGGCAGAGGCAGGTGGATCTCTGCGAGTTTGAGGCCAGCTTGGTCTCCATTAGCCAATCCAGGCCAGCTGTGGCTACAGAGAGACCTTGTCTCAAAAAGACCCCCGCAAAAAAAAAAAAAATCATTCCTTTTAAAGTGGATTATTCTATCACCCCTGATGAATATTTCATTGTTTTTACCTTTTGGTTATTTGTCAAGAAAGTTAGTGGAAACCACAGAATGAACACACACCTGCTGGAGTCTCTTATTTCTTTGGAGATAGATTCAGAAATGGAATAGTTGTATTATGTTGTAGTTCCATGTTTACTGTTTATGAAGAGCCAATGTGTGGATCTTGGTTTTCAGCACATTGTATTTGAGGTGGTGGAGAATCTCAGTTAGCAATGAAGAAAACATTGAGGTGGAGATTTCACTTTGAGAAACCTGATAGAAGTGATGAAAGAGTGATGCCATTTAGAGAAGAAGGAAGGAAGAAATGAAGTAAAGCCACAGACTGAGTCTGACTAAAGGGAGACAGTGAAGGGACCAGCCAGTGAGACAGGAACAGGAGGAACAGAGGAACAGGAACAGGAACAGAGGGTTAAGGTAGGAACAGACTGCCTGTCCATGCACACTTAGTGCAACTCATCCATATTAACTGAGAACTTTCTAGAGCTTCTTTTCTCATGAGTAGTTTTCTGTTTATGTGTGGCATTATGTTCAAGGGTTCAGGATCACTAATATTGGGTTAGGATCACTACCTCTGGGCAAGGACTACTACTGCTGAGCGTTGAGTTTCTGGGATGCAAATACTTTTCAAAAAGGTCTTAGAAACACTAAAAGAACAGACAATTCCGTATCCCTTTCTTGGTTATTCTACACTTGATCGTCTGCATTGATAATTTCATGGTTAACTCTTTCTGACTTTTTATTGAAGAATGAGATAGGCCGAGAAAAGTGAACATATCCATGAGGGCAACTCAGTGCCTGCTCAGATGCTGCCTGCACCTGAGTGAACAACACCCCTATGGAGAAACAGGACTGTGACCTCACTGCAGTAATTCCCATGTGCCCACTAACCCTGCATCTCTATTACCCTAATTACAGCCGCATAGATTAGCTTTCCCTGTTTTGAACTTTGTGTAAGGGGAATCACACACACACACACACACACACACGCACACACACACACACACACTATATATAT